GCTCTAAGTCTCTCTTTCATTGTCTTATCGATCCACTATAGTGTACATTTCATGACGTAGTACGGAGAGGTGGAACGAGAAAGAGAGACTTGTCAACTTCGGAAAATCTCAGTTCAAAACTGAACCGAAAATGCAAGACTTGCTTTAATTGTTTTCCTTCAATTTCTTTCTATATTATTTACTATAATGGAACTCGTGTTATTTACACTGTGCTAGATCAATACATATAAACACTGACAGAAAACAATTAAAGCAAGTTTTGAAGTTGACAAGTCTCTCTTTCTCGCTACGCCCCTCATACTACGTCATGTAATGTACACTATAGTTGATTGACACTACATGACAATGAAGGAGGAAAGAGAGATTTGGAGCAAGTCTACTAAGACACCTGTTCAGGAGGTAGGAAAAGTGCAATTTGAATGCAAGAACACCTTGCACAAAGTCAAAGGTTAGCTAAATATTCTAATCCTTCTATTGACTTCTAAAAATTCCTTACTCTTCAAGAAATTACTTCCTTGAAAATTCCTTCATTCTAAACAAAGACGAAGAACTCTGTGAAAGTCTACAGGTCGTGCTATACTGCTATGCAAGTTTTTAGTGGTTTGCATTATTCAAATAGATGCAGCCATGCAGGTTTATTAGCATAGCATGAGCTGATGACAAGTTGTCATAGCTAGCTTGCCACTGAATACTATAGTACTGTACAATATCATGTATAACAAACAATAATAATACCTGAATGAATCATTGGATATGTAGAATTTAATTACATTGTCATACCTAGAAATACTACCAGTAGGGCCTGTTCATATGGGCAAAAGTTATCCCGGTTAGCGTAAAAACTTTTCAACAAGTTTATAAGTGAGATCTCACCTTGGTATGAAAATAATATGAAAAGTTACATTGCCTTCATATGAGACAACATCTTTTTCTGTGTACCGAGATCTCGCTTGTTGACAGGCGAGATCTCAGTGACCAGGATAATGGCTTTGCCATGAACAGAACTTTCCAGCTTAACAGGATAACTTTTTGTGGTGTCAGCAACTATTTAATTCATGTTCACATCACAACCAGAAACTTTACCCAGTAAGTGGGATAGGTTTGTCCATGTGAACAGAACAAAAGTAATTGGCTAATCGAAAACTTTTCTCGTTAACTGGGATAACTTTTGCCCTTATGAACAGGTTCTAAGTCAGTTTTTGTCCCAATTATTGTTTTAATAGCACGTTCATGGTTACCCTTACTGCAGAACAACTTGAACCATCTGCCGATGGGGAGAAAATCTATTTTGTTGACATTTTTGTTTAATACGTCAACTTCAGATGACACCATCCATTTGTAATGACTAAGATTGTACTCAGTCAGAACTGCAAAACTGTATAATAAGAAAGAAATTGTGAGCCTTATCATATACAATTGTGTGTTCCAGTGCGGGCATTATACTGCTCAATTGACCTTATGCATAATGACATCACAACGTTTGATGCACACAAGGAATGCTGGTCTTAATAGTCATCACCCAGGAGAATTTAAAAATGGGCACCATTGAAATTTTCCCAGGGGATGACTACTAAGACCAGCATTCCTCACAGGCATCAAACCTTAAGATGTCATTATGCATAAAGTATATTGATATACAGTAAAGCCCCCTGCATAAAAGAACCTGTAGGTTAAGAACCACTAGCCTGAAATTTTGGCAATTAAGCACCCAAAATTACTGTAATATATAACTATTTTTTTTGCCAATTTTCTAATTGACATACAACCTATATATATATTTGTAAAATTTGATATACAATAGTCAATACCTTGTTGGCTTGATCTTTTGACAGAAATATCTTCAAATATGTATGTGAGATTGCGAGATCACACACGCTAAAAGGAGCAAGTTTCGTACAGGTACGGCGAGTTGACAATTTACAGCTTTTTTCAAAAACATAATATGAACGGCCCTTTTAATTTGATTTGACCAAAAGATCCCCACGAACACACACCAAAATAAAGTCGATATTTTTTTGAAAAATAGTTGTAAAATGTTGTCAGGAACTATTCAGGAAAGAAGCCTGCGAACAGGCGTTTAGAAAGAAGCGGAAGTTAAGCTGGAATTCGAACCATACGTCACAACATGTCATCAATCCATTGTTCTAAATGCTGAATCCGAAAATCTCGAATTCTCCTCCACATATCTCGCGGAAAGACTGGGACCGACAAAACTAGTATGCTGCCTCTACGAGGCAGCAAAAATATGCATGAAAAATTATGCATTAATGTGCCTGCGTAGGTCAAATTAGCCCGCGTGCAGGCCCAAGGGAAGAATAGTGGGCCCGCAAGCAAGGCCCGGTATTTTGTAAAACGCCCCTTTTCATAACACGCACTTTTCATCGTTTCGTTTCAAACGGCAATTACCGTCTTCTGTTTCGCTCTCTCAGCGTAGCCTTGCAAATCGCAAAGTGTTTCGAATAGGCTTACATGCAACTGCCTCTAAACCTTCACCGCGAAAAGCGCTGTTTTCTTCAGTGCAAGAACAGAGTTAATATCAACCAAAAGGTAATTTTCTTGAGGAACATATAACGTATCAAGTCTGTTTGCAATTAATGAAACTCAAGTAACGGTTACTATAGTTTACCCCGGCAGTCGTAATGTTGCTATTCCAACACTTCACGACAAGCAATCCCCATTGGCATAACGGCAACATCTCTTCCTTCAAGTAACCAATAAACAGTCTGTTCTTGTTCCATTTTTAATCGAAAAAAGTAATCAATTTTCGAATTTTAAGCTTATCGAGAGCCTTTGTGATAAATCACTGATCTAATTATAGAATCCAACAGCAAACAACCAATCAGAATGTCGCTTTTGTGGGCGAACACGGAAAGTACAAAATAGCGGCCTTGCTTGCATGCCCACTATTCTTCCCTTGGACCTGCACGCGGACTAAGGTCAAATGCGAAATAGATATTTTTAAGAGATAAACAATTTTATTAGATAATCTGCTAAAAACGCCAGCCATTTTTTGTCACCTGTAAATGTTTGGGTTCTCTGTATTATTTTCACTTTTTGCACTGTATTTCACTTTTAATTTTGGCACTATATTTCGAATAAAATTGTACTATTCTTAACCAATCAGATTTGATAATTTTTTATGTATGTTATTAAACAACATTATGAACCGAACTTGAATACAGGGACGTGCTGGGGTCTTAAAAAAAGCAACAAATGAGCAACGTCTGATGGGGTCCATGGGCCGTGAACGATAGCTCAATATAAGCGGGGGAGGAAGGGAAGTCGCCAATTCTTTCCGGATATACCAAACTTTTTCCGTAAATATAGTAATTTTTCTTGGCATGCAAAAATTTTTCAGGACATATCGTCAATTTACCGGAAATACTAAATTTTTCCGGGCATCGTAAGTCCAACATACGAAAATTCGTACGTAATATTTTCCTGAATTTTTATTTTTACAATAGAAACTGTAATATCTTAATCTTGATTTTGAAAATTAAAATCTCAATGTTTGAAAAAATTTGAATGTTTTTATTTTAGGGGCCCATGATGGCAAAGGCCCACAACGAGCTCTCGTTGGCTCGTCCCAAGCCAGCATGTCCCTGCTTGAATATGTTGGTCATATGCGCTTACAGCTTGCAAGGAGGGGTAAATGAATCCTTTCTGATCTCGTGCTGTACTTGTGGCATAGCTGCTCCTGCCGTCAATCAATATTGAAAATGTTTAGTAAGTAAATATGTAATGAAGATATTGTTACATTAGCTCCGGCGTAACCTGAGTATCAGGCCCTCGGTATTGAAGAGAGCCTGACACAATTCGCCTCTACGGGCTTTCCACCCCCAGAATATCAGCCAATTAAAATTATTTCCGGTTGTAGCATATATTTCCGGTTGTCCGCTACAGGTATGTAAATACGCAAATTTCGTTATTTGCAGTTTTGCATAAATTTGAATAAATACGGAGAAAAGTCGGTATGTTTTTGTCGAAATATCCACATGATGGAATTCTAAGCGTAAACTATGCCTCATTCGGGGAACCATAGCTCGATGGCTTTGTCCAGGAGTCTAAAGAGACAACAGTCGGCGCTCTGAATAGGATTTCTTCTTCCTCGGTCCTCGTGTCATGTTAATAGTTTATTCGAGACAGCTATTCGCTTCAACTGCGTCTAACACAGCGTCTATTGTCTTCAATTTCTGCCTGATGTTTGGCATATTAGTTCTTGCGAGCTGACTACTATATCCTTGCTGGTCTTGGAAAACAGCGCGGCAATAAACTGAGAAATAAGGCTTCAGCTTTTTGGAACTATAAAATATTTGAAAACTTCCGACATCCACAGATTTTCGTTCTACGGCTACTATTACGGCGAGATATTTAGACACGCTTTCTACTATAACTATGTAGTTTTAGTTTTATACCGAGTAAAATGTTGCTGCAAAAATTTTTCAACGTCTTTTCGTACTTATTTTGTCTTTTGTGGGCTTAATTAATTGAAAATAAATTTCAGAAATAAAGCACTTTTAACAGTATATTGAGAAAATTACAAATTCTATTTTTGGTGTTACATACGCCGGTCATATATTTCCGGTTTGAATCACATGATGCGTTTTATCGTCTCTTAGCCAATCAGCATAACATCCAGATTCTGGATGTTGAACATGGCTTTAGAGGCGAATTGTGTCAGGCCCTCTTTCAATACCGCGGGCCTGATACTCAGGTTAGCTCCGGGGTAGATCGGAAGTCTTGTAAACTAAATTAGTGAGATAGAAACTCTCAATGGGCTCTCGCGCCCTTCGCCAAGTTCGCCGCTTGTTGCTACTAGTAGGCTATCACTAATATCATACTTGTAGCGTAGCCAATCAGAACGCGCGAAATATGATAGCCTACTAGTAGGTTTATACTAAATTAGAGTTATATACCGTGTAATTATAAAGGTGCAAGAAACTATATGTCCTACTTTGTACGCATGTCTCAAAATCTATGACATAATTCAGTTTACTTTTGGGCTACGGTGGCCAAGTGGTTACGGTACGAAGGGGCTACTAGTGGTACGAAGGAGCTACGGTGGCCAAGTGGTTAGCGCACTTGCCTTTCACCTCTGAGGCTGCAGGTTCGAATCTCACTAAGTACCTTCTCAGTGCGACTCGAACGCAGTCCCCATGTGAAAAGAGTAAAAGTCAACGCTCTGCCGAACGCCGTGGGTTTTCCCCGGGTACTCCGGTTTCCTCCCACAGGGAAAAGTTGACAGGGTGGGTTAGGTAAAAAAAAGGGCCCACAGTAATTGGCAGATGCTGTTGTGGTGACCCTGCCCTAGTTGGCGAAGCTAATAAAAAAAAAAAAAATGTTTATATTAGAACTGCGACCGAGAATTGTTTTAGTTGAGATATAATACTTCAATTTCTTCTGGGGTAAAGTAATGACTCCCTGCAAGCAGTGATTGTGTGTTGGAATGATTGAAAGTGTAACCAGGTGGAGGTTGGAACGAGTCACCAAGATTTGAATACGCACTTGACCAAGCATTCCTGATAAATATATACAAGTCGAAACCAAACCATGGTCCAGATCCTTGGTAAATTACCGTAACATCACTCTCATCTTTTAGCGAAGCCTTGAAAGGCGGAAGGTCATCATGATTGCGCATGGAGAACAAAAAGGAACCTGGAGCCGATGTCCAACCCCCTGTCAAAATGAATCATAATATTACGTCAGGATAATAAATATTTCTTTTAATTATATGGCTGACATTCGTTTTGGTAAATCCAACAACTTGATTGGATGCTGAAGAGGCAGGATTTTCCGATATTGTCCATGAACAGACAAGATGGAATCTTTATTTCCTTACAAAGTTGCTCTTGCGACCAGTGCCGAATTTTAAACAACAAATTCTCTAAATGTCTTCTTGAAAATATTTAAACCGAAGGAATATAAACCTAAAATAGAAAAAAAGTTCTCAAAAAGTTTTTTTCCCGTAACTTGAAAAGAGTAAAGGTAAATTTGAGAATGTCTTTAATTATCAAGACAGTCGAGAGTTTGTTATGAACAGTTGAATAGGTCTAAATTTTATTTGCAGATGGCCGGGAAGAATTTTGCAACATCCGATATAGAAATACAATTAAGCCATCGCTTAGGCTAGATTTCATTCGAATATTTCCATTTCGTTAGGTAAAACTTATTTCACAGGGTTTTTTCATTTGTTATATTTTATCCTATCAGATTGAAGAACAATGACGCTGACGTTGTTCCTAACTTGGTATGCAACTTCAACTGAATTCCTTGCAAGGATATGCCACAATTTGGCCGGTATAATTATAATCATGACCATCGCCTTGACAGCATACTCAACCTTACAAGTTAGAATATACTTATATAACCTTATATAAGCTTATAGCTTAGCATAATAATTAAATTCTTACTGGATCCAGCCCACGTCACGGTCGAATAACCTCCAAATACATATGTTTTGTTATTTTGCACGACTTTCACAACTGTCAATGTCGGTATTTTCCAATCACAGTTTGAGTGGAACGCAGTACTTTCCCATCCATCCATTGTCGCTTGCCAACAAATACTCCAGTTCGCTTTCACTGGCAACCACTCTTCCAATTTTTGTGTGAATTCTCGAGGCTCTTGAGACAAAATATATGATTCCAAATTTTGTGCTAAAGATACAGGTTTATTAGAGAACCGCACTCTGATATATAAAAATCAGTTTCATTCCCGAGCCAACGGCGAGGGTATTTATTCCGCACGGCCATTTACCCCCGGGTAAAGAAAAGCATTAGCGAAGTCTATGGTTTACTGTTTACCGTTCGCGGGTGGTCATTCTCACTGATCTCAAAATATAGCGGACTCTCTTGAATATTAAACACATATTGGACAAATTTAAAATTTCTAACATTATAATGACTGCATGACGTCAGCAAGAAAACAAAAATTTCTCCCAAATCATTTCAGTCTTGCATTCTTTCGTTTTTCTAGTACTAGAAAATACATCCATGCAGAAACCCTCGCCTTAACAACAAAACCATTATATTTTCCGAACATGAAGTTTTCAAAGTTGTTGTCATTGTAGCAGGATAATTTTATTAAGAACGTTTTTATAATTTATAAATTTCCTAAAATTTTCACTTTAATTACAAGTTTAGCGATTTTCCAAACATATAATTATCTCCGAGCCAACGGTGCGGAGCGCCGTTCAGGCGTAAGCCCTGGGCGAGGGTATTCATTCCCCCCGGCTATTTACACCTGGGGAAACGAAAGCATTTGCCAAGTCTAAAGTTCATCAACGAGCGCTGGCGTCGGTCACCAACGATGTTAAGTGGGTCATCCTCACTGATGCGATGGCTGATTGCTTGTAGAGTTGTAGGAGTTGGATGAGCAAGATTTCAATTTTAAAAGACATATATTTGGAAAATCGTTTCATACACAACAAGCTTGAAGCAATTTTGTTTGAAGAAATGAGAAGAATTGATTAACTATGGGAAATCGCGAAATATACGGCAAGTTTGCTTTGAATATTTAATGTTTAGTATGTTTACGAATTTTGTTGCTTTAAACTTTTTGCCTAAAACATGAACTGTTTTCCTTTTCAACGAAGCTCTAAGTTTCATAAATTACCGTTTCATTTGGGAAAAAATCTTAAAATGTAAGGAGAACAAATTGATTTGAAGACTGAACTGAAGTTACCTAACAAATTGTTTTATTTGTAAATTATTATTAACAATTCTTGGATGAGACTGAGCAGGATATCCAGAATTATTTAGACCGAGGTCAATGTTATCTGCCGAAGCCGAAGGCTGAAGCAGATAACATTGACCGAGGTCTGAATAATTCTGGTATCCTGCGCAAGCCGAATTCAATAATTGTTTTATTATTCATTTTGTGACAGAAAGAAAACAAAACCAGCAACAATTGAAAACAAAAAATAAAATATATGCATTGAATTCATTAACTTTTCGTAAATATAAATACAGCATAATTGTTAACAATATTTCAAACACTCGGAGAAAATTTACTATATTAAATATTTATAGCAAGTTTCATCTAGCTAAAATAAACGTTTTTTCAATTTCCTGCGTTGAAAACGTTGCGAAACGAGCACTACACAGCCAGAAACGCCACAAAATAGTACGTACCGAATATTTGTTGCAAGTTGTCAACTTGTCAACAAGTTGCAACAAGTTTGTTAATTTCATCAAGTTGCAACAAGCTTGCTAAAACCAGGCTTGTTGCAACCTGTCATTTGCAGACTTGTTGCAACTTGTTAAAACAACTTGCAGCAAGCCTGTGGATAACAAGTCTTGACAAGTCTGTTAGAACAACTTGCGACAAGCTTGTTGAATCAACAATGCTGTTGCAAGTTGTTAAAACAGACTTGTAGCAAGTTGATATTATCAAGCCAGCATCAAGTTGTTGGAACAACTTGTAACAAGCCTGTTGATGACAAGGTTTAGCAAGTCTGTTAGAACAAGTTGTTCTTAACAGATGTGTTGCAAGCTGATATTTTCAAGCCTGCGTCAAGTTATTGGAACAACCTTGATGCAAATTGCGTCCTCATAATCAAGCTGATTTAAACTTGAGACGTTACTAACGTTTTATTAATTGTAATTATTATGAACATTTCAACAACCAACTATTTGAAAAACATAGTTGCGTTTATATAAGCAAACGTAGTTGTAATTGTCGCGAAAATTTAAGCGCTTGGCCGTCTTCGTGTCGGCTCGCCACAAAATAGTACGTACCGAATATTTCACCAATTCGCCATGTGGTTCATAATTTTTCAGCAAATGGCTTCGCCGATTCAGAGCAATAGCAGGCAACTTTCGCGCTTTTAATTTAGGTTTCTGAACTGATGAAGATCCGGCTTACGGATCGAAAGCTTTGCAGTAATAAATTTACGTCGTGTTTCCACAAAAAAAAACTATTATATGTTTTATCGCCATGCAAACATACAAAGAACTTATTAAGTCTTGACAAGTCCGATAAACAACTTGCAGCAAGTCTGTTAAAATCAGGCTTGTTGCAACTTGACATTTGCAGACTTGTTGCAAGTTAATAACAAATTCATTTGACTTGTTCACAGCTATACAAACTTTGTTTATTGTTTGGCTATTAAATTCGGCCGTGAAAATCAGTTTCCTCAATTATTATCGCTCTATACATGAATATTTAACAATGGATATGTTTGTATTTTAAATCAAAAGGATTATTTTGCAGTTAGCAGTCTATACAGCTATTTCGGATGAATAAAATTAGATAAGTTGAAATCGACAGCTGTGGAAAAATTCTCGCAAGTCGCAAATGAAATAATTAAAAATTTTATAAAAATGAAAATTTAGGAACAACTTGCTGACGTGTGCTATCGCTATATTTCTTTAATCTGATTGGATAAAGGCGTATGCACACGTCATCATTCCTCGTTGCAATTCGACGAAATATTACAAACATATCAATCACGTAATCATGCTCAGTTGTTTTTGTCTTTTACAGTTTGTCACTTTGTCAGTTTACTTTTTGATTCAAACAAAATTTCAACAACTGCGAAGTGCGAACTAAAATAGTAAAATCAAACACGTTCACAAGGTTCGAAGCGAAAAAAGCTCAAAGCTGGTTTGATCTTGAAAAAAGTGGCAATGAGAATACATGATCTAGAGCTTAAGAAATGAAAAATACATAAACAACCGAGTCTTCATCGTTGATATGAATATGAAATTCGTTACACAATTTCTTTCCAATTTCAAGTGAAAAATCTGCGAACGAGAAAGACGCCTTTTTGAAGCTTTGTGTATGTACTATTTTGAAGAAAAAGATGCAAGTATGTTGTCATATTTCGGTCGCACTTAAAGACCTTTTAATTTTGAGAATTGTTTACGATAAGAACCTTTCTTGGTCGTATTTTTTCGGCTGTTTTGCTCAAAAATTATCTCGCAAGTTGGTTATATAAACGTCTTGTTATTTTACGAAACACTACAACCGAAATATAGCAACTTATTTGGCCGTTTTTTGTTCAAAATAGTGCATACACGAAGCTTCATGAGGCGCTTTCCTCACTCAGCATTTTGACAACTTGCATCAAATCTGTGGATGGCAACTTGCATCAAGTCTGCAGTTCACAAATTGCATCAAGCCTGCAGTTCACAACTTACATCAAGTCTGCAGTGCACAACTTGCAGCAAGCCTGCAGTTCACAAGTGTGTCAACAGGCTTGTCGTAACTTGCGCGTTTCTGGCTGTGTAGCCATTGAAACAATTGAAAAAGCCGCTCAACTAAAAATTTCCCGCCAATTTGTATTTTCACATAAAATACCGCTGAAATATCCCTGGCGCCGTCCAATAACCTCTGCAGAACAGGGTGGACTTTCGTCGACGCTGCATAAAAATAGTGCGGGCTCGTGAGCTTTTTCCCGCGAATTTTGCTTTTCGATGTTTGGGTTACAATTTCTAAGGATGTTGAAGTTTACAGCATTGTGATTCACTGGTTTTTGAAAGCATCTGGGTTTTTATTGTTGAAGGTTCTACAACTCTTCAACAAGCGAATGACTGTTTTTAAAGCAACGCAATTGAAAGGAAAACTTATATTTTCATACGAAGAAGATGAGTGGTGATATTTATGTTGGACCGTTTTGAGCAGATGCTTCGAAGAACATGATATAATCGGACCTTGTATCTTAAAAGTGTACTTGGAACAGCCGAACAAACCGGTACATTTTGTTACCCGGTGTGTTGGGCATCATAATTCACAGAAATAGTACACAACGGCGTTTAAACTGGCTATGAAATATCCTGAATACTTCATCGAGTTCTCTACTGCCATGTGACCTGTAATTTAATGTGGCACGCGTCTTTGAAAGGTGTAGGTATAACTTAGGTAAGCCAACATTTCTTTGTAATGCAAGCTACATTTTCATATCTTTAATATGTGAATATTTTTAATTTTGTAAAAAATTAAGCGCAATATGTTGTTGGAGAAAGTATCGAGTGCTTGATAATAACGCTCAGATCTTGTATACAGATATTCGTATTTTATTCAAATTCTGCCCTTATCACCGTTTTTTTTACTCTTTTATTTTAAAGTATACATAATCCTTAACTTGATAACACGATGGTCTACTCGATAAAAATTGGGCAAAGGGGCGATCTTTGCAGAGAAACTTGACCGTTCGGTGAAATCACAGTTAATAGAAATAGGAAATCATAGTTAATATTACTATTAACTGTGGTAAAATCGGTAGTTCAGAGACCCTATTTTCATCGTAGTATTTCGTGACAATTTGTTGGCCGATTTCCAGTTTATATTGTAGAACTGGTTCCTAGTGAATTAATTTGTAGATCTTCTAAACAGTAGTAATAAGAGTTCTGAATCACTGTTTGCAAAGAAACTAGCCTATATCACCACAAAAATTCAAGCTTATTTTTAAAGTCAAATAGTTTCTCCATGGATAAAAGTAGTTTTATTGCGTCAAAAATAGGGCAAGTACAAATTTAAAAAAGGTTAAGTTGCACTTGTATATCTCACTTCGAAAAAGATATACATCACATATAAAACAGGCATATTTGTACGGCGAAATTAAACTGCTGCAAAAAAGTTTTTATTTCAACTTTCACGTTCTTATTCCAAAGCAAACACTTCTAAGTTGGAAATGCCTAAAATTGTGAGCGTAGAAACACTAAAGAGACAAAAAACGACTTCATAGCGCAAGTAGTTTTGGCAAATTTGGTGTTTGTTTTTAGATTTCAGTCACGCGATTAACCACGCTTACGTTTTTCGCGCATGCGTAGACGAAAGTCCACCCTGTTCCTCTGAAGATAACAGGAAATCCGCTGGAAATAGCGCAGGCACCTACAAATACCCAAAATTGTTAGTAGGCTCTTAGCCAATGAAAAACCGAGACCACAGTACAATGAATAATAATGTTTTATTATTAGTTTTCTATCGGCAAATGAACTATAGTTGAATGAACATTTCAAAACATTTTACGAAGCGTTTCAAGTTAAATTTTACATTAAATCAAAGCTCACAAAATGCAAAATGATACACCTACAGTATATATTTCGGAAATGAATTGTTGTATAGTTAAAAGTACGAATCTTTCAACTATTTTGCAGTTTTGTATAAAAAACATGAAAAAATTTAAGAATATCGTGTTGTCATGGCAACACTTGAGCGCGATCCTGCGTTTAGTGGGCCATTTCTGAATACTTCATGTTAATTTAATGTTTGGAAAATATTGGCGAGGGGTTACTGCAGGCATATATTTCTAGTATGTTAGGTATGTTATGATACGTAATATATTAAGCTTCAATTTCAATGTAAAATTCAACCACAAACGCTTCGCAAAAGGTTTTAAAATGTTCTTTACAGAACTAAACTGCCTTTATCGATAAACTTTGAGTTTCAAATGAAATGATTTAAAATTCTCGCATCCAAAAAACTTTGTTTTCTTTTTATATGAAAATTTTAGTAAAATAAAATAGGATAATGAAATAAAGATACACTGAAATTACATGTTTTCTTTTTTCATTTTACTTAACGATCAGCATTTAAAGCAATTACAAAACAAAAAAGTTAGCAAACAAAATATTTAAAACAAACTTACCCTCTGTAATGTGGGCGTCTTTGCTCCCTTCTTTTAGTAATTCTTTTGCCTCTTTTCTCAAAAAGTTTTTGAAATTACAAAATCTTGCAAAAATGATATATAGTTGAAAGAAATGTTTGCTATTGTCATGCAGTTGTCATGCAGATATCGCGCGTGCGCCGCGATGGCGGTTAGCCGCAAGTTTTCTGGCTCGCGAAAAATGTTAATTTTTTTGTACATACACATAATATGTTGTGGATTATTCTATACAAACATGAAGAAAACATCAAGTGTTTCCACCTGGCAAGAGATTTACGTGTGTTCAGAAGTTATGAAAGCTAAAATCTTTTCCAACGGTTTCAAGCGACGACGAAAAGTGAAACAACGACCGTTAGCAAATTCATTAAAATTGGCTCTCGGCTGTCGCCTTCTCCTTTACGCCTTGTTTTCAGTGTTTCTGATCAAACTATCGGGTGATGTTGAAATAAATCCAGGCCCTACCAGCAATGCAAATCAAATCTCGCATAATAATCGAGCAGTAAAATGCCTTGGGCTCAACGCACGGAGCTTGATGAGTGTAACGAAGACAAATGACGGACAAACTGTGAGTAACCTTGAACGATTTCAGAACTTTGTTTACTCCGAAGACATTGACATTGTTTTTGTCAACGAGACTTGGCTTTCTGTGAGTATAGACAATGGTGAAATTTTACATTCTGGATACACTATAGTCAGAAACGATCGGGAAGGTCGCGGGGGCGGAGTTTTGTTGGCAATAAGAACGGGATTATTTAAAACTGTGCGTGAAATTAAACATGATCAGAATCTGGAGATTGTTTTGGTGGAATTAACAACAATATCGGACTCGAACATACTTATTTGCTCTTGTTATCGTCCACCAAACGCGGACAGAATTTGGATGGAAAATTTTGAAAATTTTCTTAACGATGTTTGCTCACGTCATTCAAAAATTGTTCTCGCTGGCGACTTCAATCTACCGCGCGCGTGCTGGAACTCGCGGGAAATCTCCGTAGGCGTGAACGAAACGAAATTTATTGAAATTCTGGATGACTTTTTCCTGGAGCAAATCAATAACATTCCCACCAGAGAAAACAATGTACTTGATCTCTTAATTACTAGTATTCCTGACAAGATAAAGATAAGCAAAGTCTTAAAACCAACTGATGCAGGAATCTTCACAGATCATAGCCTAATCATGTTTGATCTAATCACGGCATGCAATCCATTACCAAAAGTAAAAAGAACCGTATTTAATTATCGTCGAGCTGACTTTGATGGTCTACGAGCACATCTTCAATCACTTAACCTCAAGGAGAAAATATCTGATCATGGCGATATTAATAAAGATTGGTCGGAATGGAAAGATTCGTTTCTTGTGGCGGTGAAGCAGTTTGTTCCAACTGCAAATTTAAAAGGTCGAAAGTCTCTTCCTTGGATGAATAGTACAATTCTTCATTTAATTAAGAAGAAAAACTCGTTGAGAATGAAAATCAAAAGATCTAGTTCACCAAGTGACTACCTAAGAGATCAATTTAAAAGCCTCCGCTCCACCATCAAGCGAATGTTGCGTGACAGTCGACTTGAATACATGAACAAAATCTGCGCCAATCGTGATCACAACCCAAAACGCTTTTGGTCCTTTTTTAAGACGAGGTCAAAAGTTTCCAACATTCCAGGAAAAGTTTCCACGAAAGTCAATGACAGTGAAAGAAAGCACGCGAACAGTAACACCGATATAGCGAACATGTTCAATGAATATTTTGTTTCCATCTTCTCCTCTGACTCGGACGTCGCCTTTGAACATGGTGATCGTCTGCATAACGTAGAGTTTGAGAATATCACATTATCGGAGGAAGAAGTGCTAGCTGTGATAATGAATTTAGACCATAATAAAGCACATGGCCCAGATAATATTCCAGCCCGCCTACTGAAAGAGACAGCCGCGCAGATTGCACCATCTCTCTGTTCTCTTTTCAAAAAGTCTTTACGTATTGGCGTTGTGCCTGACGATTGGAAACTCGCTAACGTGGTCCCTGTTTACAAACACGGAGAAAAAGCGGAGGTAGAAAATTACCGACCAATTTCACTACTGTCCCTTATATCAAAAACCCTCGAACGTTGTGTATTTAACAACATCAAACATCATGCTTATGATCAGATAAACCCTTGCCAAAACGGTTTTGTGCCGAAAAAATCCTGCATCACCCAACTCATCAAAGTCCTTGATCACATTGGCCGTGACTTAGATCGTGGTAAACAAATTGACGTAATTTATTTAGACATGTCAAAGGCCTTTGATAAAGTGAGCCACGCAAAGCTGTTACATCGCCTTCGTGAATTCGGGTTTGGAGGAAGCATTCTCAAATGGTTCGGTTCATATCTGACCAACCGATATCAACAAACGACCGTTCTTGGAGCAACGTCGAGGCCGCTTCCAGTAACATCAGGAGTGCCGCAGGGGTCCATCCTCGGTCCATTATTGTTCCTTCTATATGAGAATCATCTCTCCAATTCCGTGACCAATTCAAGGATTGCTATACTCGCGGACGATACCAAGATCTTCAAGACCATCAATTCGATCTCTGATGCGTCTGCTCTACAGAATGATCTGTCAAACTTCCAAGAAAGCTCAAGCACTATTAACCTCGAATTAAATAACACCAAATGCAAAGTCTTAAGAGTCACCCGAAAGCACAATAAAATTACTTATCCATACAAACTTAACGATACCATCCTAGAATGCACGGACTGTGAACGAGATCCTGGAGTTTTAACATCTTCTACTCTGATTTGGTCTAAACAAGTTGACCACCTGTGCAACAAAGCCACCAAAATGCTAGGATATGTCCGAAGATCAACCTTAAACATCAAAGATATCACGGTTCGCCGCAGACTATATTTATGTCTTGTTCGTTCCCAGCTATGCTATGGATCTCAAATTTGGGCACCACAATCAGTAACCTTAATTAAACGCGTGGAAAGACTTCAAAGATGCGCAACAAAGTACATCCTGAATCTGCCCTTCCGTTGTGACACAACCTACAACCAGAGACTTGCACTCTCAGATCTCCTTCCATTGTGCTACTGGCATGAATTTCTAGATATGGTAACCTTCTACAAATTAACGCATGGTATCATGACCATTGACAGTAATTTAATACAGTCGTCACCCAATAACAACAGAAGACAAACCAGGTCGTCTAATCCCAATCATCTGTCAATCACAACGGCACAATGCAAGACCACTACCTACCAAAGGTCATTTCTCAACCGAACAAAGAGACTATGGAACGCATTACCAAAACGTTTGACAAGCAATAACATTAGTTTGGGACAATTCAAAAACGGACTTTCAAAATATTACAAGTTAGCGTTGGAAGACGTTTTTAACGTTGATGATCCAAGGACATGGAAATCTATATGTTTGTCTTGTAACAAGTCTCGTAATCTGTCCTGTCAAATATCGTGTTGTTATTAGATTTATGTTCGTTGTATATTGTTATATAGTATTAAAATAGTTAATGGGGCCGCTGTAATTGGTGAAAACTGTTGCGTGCACCCTGCCAATGAAACACATATTATTATATGTTGTTGTAAATCAGTGGTGTTATATGTTGCATGTTACTTGGCAAAGTTAAATAAAATAAAATAAAAAAATAATACAAATTTTAAATTGGACCAATCAGTGTTTGCAATTCATGACTGCCCGCTATATTTTGAGATCAGTGAGGATGAACACCCACGGACGGTAACCCATGCGCCCGCGATTATTGAT